TAAGACAAAGAAAAAAAAAGTGGTTGGGGTGGGGGGTGGGCTGAAAATCTTGACCCCCGGGTTGCTTAGGGTTCTCAAGACGACAAGGCTTTCTCATGAGACCCGCATAGAGTTTTATTTGATACATTGCAATAGAGGCCAATGTGTTCATTGAGTGCGTGTTTTTGGTACAACGTCTTCTGGACAGTGGTGCAGGAAGTGTGATGCATTATTTTTTTACTATCAGCTGAGTTTCTTTTCTTGGTGGCGGGGAGGAAAACATCTTGGTCCGCTTTGGGCGTCACAAACCCTAGCTACGTCACAGCTTCCGATTTGAGCCACTGCCCCTCTCTTTGATACCCCGCCCTTCCCCCCCCCCCACAACAACAGGCACATCGGTTACGTGTCAGCTTGCTGGATAGAAACAACAAAAATGTTTTTGGTCTAAACGAAAGTTATGCAATAAACTGCTACTTTAGGATTCAAGAAATCCCAAACAATTTACGCCAAGCACCCCCCTCCCCCGCCACCTCCACCCCGACCCCCACCCCCGTAGGTAAACAACTTTCCATGCCAGCAACTGTAACCGTTAGCGTCATGTCTTGTGTAAACCAAGAGCGCCATCTGAGGCAGTCTTGTGACGCAATGAGCATCTCGACAGACACGATCTACCGCTGCCGTTCCACGTAGGTTAAAGCATCTTAATGGACAGATATCAACACATCCCACACGGGCACACCCCACACGGGCACACCCCACACGGGCACACCTCACGCCTGCCGTCGGAGCTTGGGGCGGGCCACACGTTTTTAGAATTGTTTTATTTTTGTATATATATACATTATTTCTTTTAAATATTGCTTTCAAAAAAATATATATTTGTGTGTTAGCAAGGACGCTGAGAAACAGTTTCACCATCCTATAAATCTACCTGTTACGTCATGACGCACGAAAATCTGGTTTTTCTATTGCAGAAAAAGAGGGGTGGGGGCACAAAAGAAAAAAAAAATGTGGTAGGGGGCGCTCTCTTTACTTGTATCTCGGTTTATCAGGGTTCAGATTTCCTGACCTAGTAAAAAAAGGCAAACAATTCTGAATTAATAAGATGTGTATCATTCTGGATGCACTGGTCACTAGTGGATTTCGATCTCAATACTTTGATATTTTAACCGTCCCCATGTCATAGCTCAAAAGCACAAGCCAAGTGCATAGACCACTTTACATTCAACCCAGTACCAGGACTGCATGGTACAACCCCGAACGACAGCGATCATGTGTGATACAATAAGTGTCGAACGAGGCCTGGTATTTCTCCTCTGTAGCCGTGGAAGTGTTCAATGAATTGATTGATTCTGTCGCGCGGTTTGGGGGGGGGGGGGGGGGGTGGAGCTCTGTCATGGCGCATACCACTGATGACACATAGACGAGTCATGGCTTAAGTCTCATCATGACATTTATGGCTTAAGTCTCATCATGACATGTATGGCTTTTACTCCTGCTTTGTAGAACGACGTACTTAACCAGTATCGGATTAACCATTAGAGTTAGAGTGGCTAAAGCTTAGCCAGGATCGGATTAACCATTAGAGGGGCTATATTATAGGCTCTCTTGCGAAAGAGGAAGGGCGGCACTTTAGCTAAAAAGGAGGCGGCACTTTAGCTAAAAAGGAGGCGGCACTTCATTTGTTGCAACCTTTTCGGTCTATTCAAAGTACGATGGTTTGGTGTGTTGTATGGATGTTTCGATGTGTATTATGTCAACAACAACAAACAAACAAAAAAGTTGTATAATTGTGTTTAATATGACCAGGTATTTGGGTGCAGGTATTTAATGAATGTGAAGCAGCTGGGAGCAGGCGCGTAATGACGTGTTCTGTTCAAGAGATTATTGATTACATTTTGGGCTGAGCTGCCGCTGTGGTGTGTCTTACGTAGAAGAAGAGAAGGGGTACACGAACGTTTCCTAACGTAAGGGCCATATAAATTCACTCTATCTGTGGGTGCATTCAAAACGTATCCATACCTGTAAGTGCATTCAGCCAATGAAGGTATATCCGGGGAAGTGAGGGGGTGGGGCTGGTGTTGAAGTGTGAGTGCCCACGACCTTCGGTCATTCTTAACATCATGAGATCTTTATTGGGAAACACAGTAGGGCCTACTTACTTTTGTGTGCACGGTTGGGCGTGGCAGGAAGGTTATAAATAGACCTGCACATGATTGGAAACAATTTAAAAATAAAAAAAAACAACAATCAATGACACGTCCTGTAAATGGCATGATGTCATTTCCAGATACTGATTTTGAAATAATTGCTCTATTATGTTCCGCCCGCCTTTAGTGTTTTCGAATGATGTTGTTAATCCCTGCACAATTGGAATGTATTGAACTTAAGACACACAATTGGAATGTATTTAACTTAAGACACACAATTGGAATGTATTTAACTTAAGACACACAATTGGAATGTATTTAACTTAAGACACACAATTGGAATGTATTTAACTTAAGACAAT